GTTAATAAGAAAAAGTGTTTTCCCGAGAAATTTGGGTGTAGTCGATTTTTGGAAAAAAAGGAAGGTTAAACACTGCCTTTTTGGAGGCTCCAAGAAAAAATTGTCTCAGATCGACCGAAAAAAAAACATTTTCTTATAGAATATGGCCTGTAGATTCCATAAGTTCAAAATTCACGTATGCAAACTAGCTGATGAATGTTTCTGCCGTGTGAAATTAACAAACGGTGCAATGTGACCTAAAACTGATTTTTAGAGATCTTAATCTTGAATGTTAAATTGTGCCAAAAAATCAAATCTAAAACTGATCCAAAAAATGAAAACCTACGAGTAAACTAGTTTCGCTGCAATGTAAATTATTACTAGTATTTTACCCGGATACGGTTTCTTGTGTCCTGATTGCTAGCATCTTGTGTTTGTCAACTGCTGATTACATGTAGTACAAAGTAATAGACCGTCAGATTACTGAAATTTTGAAAATTACCGCACCATGGGGAGAGTCTATAAATTATACACCCATTTATCTAAAAATAACTAGTGTAGTGCGGGGGCTATAGGTTTCAACCTTGCATTTTGTGATAACTTTACGAAACCTTCAGAGGATGTTCTAGACACCCTAAGATTCAATTTTAGTGCCGTAGATATTGTTAACTTTCCTTTCAGCATTGTAATGTCTCAATAAATACTTTAGAGCATAGTTAACTATACAGGGTGTATCATTAATATTGCGAAAAAATTCAGGGTGAGATTCCTTGCATAAAAATAAGAATAAAAGTTCATATAAACATGTAACAAAAATGCATATCGCACATTTCACTATTTGCGTAATTCATTTTGAAAAAGAAACCTAACAACTGTCAAATCGCTGTAAAGTAACGACTTTCATATAAAAAGTCAATGGCACTCTCGATAGAGTGATCCGACAAGTGATGATGCAGAGGAAACAAAAAAGTTTTATTTTCAATTGCATAATATTCAACGCCCTGTATCTCGGAAACGAGGCATTTTTGAACTTTTATTCTTATTTTTATGCAAGGAATCTCACCCTGAATTTTTTCGCAATATTAATGATACACCCTGTATAATATTCAATAGAGCAGCCAAAAGAGGTCTCCGTCACGATTTTACTATCCGCACTAGGGAATGCAATACCAGGATTGCGAGATCCCGAAATACCGGGATCCCGCAGCAATTTTGCGAGATTAATCCCGCACACAAATGGGGCGGGATCCCGCGGGATTTGCGGGACTGAGGAATTTGTCGACCAAGGGGACGACTCTGTTTGTTAATGAAACTGATAACGGCGAATTATTTTTTAAATAATTGTTAAACTTTTTTCGTTAAAAATGTCCTATGATTTTTGAGGCACTTTAGAAGACATTTTGTGCTTTACAGGTAAGGTTTTTTTGAGCTCTAAGTTAGGCCGAAGGTACTTTTTTGTTAAATATTGTGATAATTAGCGATTTATTTTAATACAGAAGTTAACCGCACAGAATTGCTTATTTGCCAATTTATTTAAAGTTTTGCGAGATCTCGCAAATTCCGGGATCCCGCGGGATTAACATCTAACAATCCCGCAAATACCGGGATTGAGATTTTGCTGCGGGATTGCATTCCCTACTAGAAACCAATTTCGAAAGAAAATTCAAAGGGCTGTAACTTTTGAACTAGTAGCCCAATCTAAGAACTGTTTGAAATTATGGATTCTACAGGCCACATTCTATAAGAAAAATGTTTTTCCGGGTCGATCTGAGACAATTGTTTTTGAGGGCCTCAAAAAAAAGGCAGTGTATAACCTTCCTTTTTTAACAAAAATCGACCGCACCAAAATTTCTCGGGAAAACAATTTTTCTTATTAATTTTGGTGCGTAGAATCCAAAACAATTCGTACTTTTTCGATCAGACTTCTCAATCAAAAGTTATAGACTAGAAACTAGGGAATGCAATACCGGGATCGCGAGATCCCCCGGGATTAACATCTAACAATCCCGCAAATATCGGGATTGAGATTTTGCTGCGAGATTGCATTCCCTAGTCCGCACTGTTAAAAGCGTCTTAAAAATAGGCAACCACGTAAAATACCCTAAATAAATTCTCCCTGAGTATTTGACAATTCCCTTCAACCTTCCTAGATGTAAGAAAATACAAAACAAACCCTGGACATACATTTTTGACCCATTTTATGGGGGGGTATTGAAATGCTACCTTACGCTTAAGAAACCCGCTATAGCAAGTGCCGTCCGGGGTTGCGGGGGTGGCGGCATAGCTGAAATTGAACCTTAGGGTGTCTAGAACATCCTCTGAAAGTTTCATAAAGTTATCACAAAATGCAAGGTTGAAACCTATTTTGGCTCTTAACCCCTGCACTAGTGGGACTCGGGTTTTTTAATTTTTTGTTCCGATAAAACCCAAAATTCTTCCTCCAGCCCCTTTTTCATTTCGTTGAACTAACAAAATGGCGACTTCTTAACGCAAACTGATGGTTTATGAAGTTCTCTGAATGCTTTTTATTAAAGAAAAATGGTACTAAAGGTTTTACAGGACTTCTCTCTACAATTTAAAAGTGTCTTTCTGAAGCTTAAATGAACAAACCACGAAAGGAGACGTTGTGGAAAGGGGTTTTGACTATCCATAAAAAACGACATCAAAATAGTTGTAAATTAAATTAACAATTACTCTACGTTCATACTACGTAATATTCGCTGGAAAATCCAGGAAAGATTGGAAAAACAAACACTTTAAATTCTATGCAAGTAACGAAACAACCACACACTACACAGCACCGGCTGCTGTACACCTCCACCTACGCCGTTGTGTATTCACGTCTTGTACAATAATACGTTTTTCCTTTCCGCCTCTGTTACATTAAATAATGGCAAAAAATCCGGACCAAACGAAAAACGTGCGGAAAGAGAAATACAGAAAGATCTGTTGGTTTAGCAAAGTTTTCATAATCAATTTTCTTCTCTCGATGCGAGTGGCTGGATTTATAAAATCTGAGTAAGGAGTTTAATTAATGAAGTTGGCAAATTCGAACGTTTTCCGAACGGCGAAAATTTATATGTATATGCAATACTGGTAGGAAAAACAGCGTCAGTGATTATCGATTTCCCTTACTGCCGAATTTAAATTCAAATCCGGTTGCTTAATCTAAAGCAAAACAAATAATCGTGCCATTATTGTCAAATTTTCCTTTTTCTTTACGTGAGCGCTTTAATAAATAATGGGAAACACATCTGGATGCCGCTGGTTGCGAAATACTGAATTAAATTTAATTAGTAGACGTGCAGGTGGTTTAAATGATGTCATAGAAGGACGCCTTTTTTCACACCAACATTGAGGATAATGGTGGAAGTAATGCGGTCAAATGATTGAGATCATAAATGATAATTTTAGCTTCTAACAAATAGATCAGTTAAACATAAAACCACCCCCATTGGCACGTGTCGAGTTAGCTCAAATTTTGATTATAAATTTTCCAATTCTCTTTATTTTTACCGAGGTGTAACAGCAAGAAGTTCGTCTCAAAATATACCCGAAGTTTGTGTTTTCCGCAATTTTAGGGGTGCATATATCAATACTACAGCATACATTTAGGAGTAATGGGCTAATGTGAACAAACAACGTAATTTTATCATTTTTATGGATAACTGCTAGATGGAAAATGACACGTTTAAATTAATTCGCTTTCGGGTTTAAGTTTACTCAACTGTAAAAGTCGCGGAACTCGTGTGAAAATTTCCGTTTCAAGTACCCAAAATAAAAACTTGGTTCGGGACTGAATACTTCAGGTCGTAGATCTCAAAAGAAATTTTCTTGCGGGACGCTGTTATTCTTTTTTAATCAAAACCCGAATCTCCCACAAAAAAACTATATTTTGAGCAGTACGATTAACGCTCCCGTAGCTCAAAACCGAATGCCAGAAAAAAGCATTATTCGGGTCACACCGTACTTGGGCGAAACCCTGTTGAGGGACAATAAATAAAAAATTAAAACCTCTCCTTAACTTAATCCATACCTATCTTGTGAATTAATTAACGTAAACTCCAAATTTTGACCCGTGTGCGTCGTTTGGAGGGAATAACGGACATGAAACTTGAAACCTGGTACTGTATAAGTAAATTCGAGAGTCATAAGCAAAATATTTTTGAAAGTTTTTGGTATATTAAGGCCTTTTCAGGGATCAAGCTCTTATATTTGCAAGTTACAACTCATTTGCCTATTTTAGCGAAAAAATTCTTATTTTAAAACACAGAATTTCGATTTAGGTATATAAGGACGAAATAATAACTCTTATGAAAGTATTGTAATCGTTTATTTTGTGTTTGTCCTTTGTCCTAATGGCATGAAATTTCAATATATATTACCTAATTGAATAAAAGGACTCAGAAATTAATTCTTATTTGTCCCCTTGATTTTCCCATCAATTATCATGTATAAAGTCAAACACTTGGTGTGTGCTTACATGATTTTAATTATCCTATAAGCTTTCTTAATGTACCTTTCTAACCCTCGTTATTATTAAACAAACGCAGGCATTTAGATGATATCCCTATAACACTTGAAACCGGATTTCTCGGCGCCCTCGTGCTCCTTAATTAACTTACCACGCAATACCGTAATAGTTCAAAAGAAAGCTGACGTTATCGCAACATAGGGCGAAAGGGAGAAACAGGTTGATGTAAACTGTAGGTAATAAACGTCAAAAGAACAGCTTTTCAAAAGGAACTCTCATGGGCCGCTGCGAAATATCCGTCGTAAGTCCTAAAGCGACCGAACGAATTAATTTCAGCGGTCAGGTCGCGTCATCTTTTATCCGTCTTGAAAGTGTCATTAATCAGTGTCATATCGAGAAAAACTTTCCAAGCACCAACAGAGGGAAAATGAACATTTAACTTGATATAATCTCAATAAAAACAGCATCTCTAGCTTTGAAATTAAAAATTTACTAAATAATGAGTTAGTCATAAATCATTTTTAAATGAATCCGACAGGAAACTTACCCCTTGCGCTCTTTTGCGGTGGCGTTATACCCTGGCCTTCGTAAAATGTGGGTAAACCGTAATCTGTAATTTTTAAAACCCATCTTGCGTCGATCACGCAATTTCTCGACGTCAGATAGCCATGGACGCGCACCGGGGTTGAGTGAAGATATTTCATCCCCTGTAAGAGATCAAAAATAGAGTAGGTACATTGGTGAGGACATTTCTATACGCAGTCCGCCAATTAAGCGGACGAAGGAATATTGACGATTAATCAATATTGACTAAAATACCCTTTCTTTATTATACGTTACATCGAAAATCCACTCTGCGTGTCCAGGTGTAGCTAAATTGCTTTAATAATGAAAAAAACGTTACTTTTGGGTACGTCAACGCGCAATTTAATAATGGCCTTCATATTTTTCCATTTACGATTTGAAAATGAGGGTGAGGTAGACTTGGAGTACAAATGGGATTACAATACAAATTCTAATTCCAAAACTTAAGATATTGAACAAATCCTTTTGTTCCTGCACATGCTACTTGTTATAAATTAATCGACTCTGTTATTCTCCAATTGTTACTAATGTAAGACTTATGCGAGTGGGGGAAGTAAATTAGTATCTTTCAATCCTAAATTAATTTTGTACATGTTTCTTAGTAGAAGGTTAATCAAACTTAACAAACATCACGTGAAGCGTAAGATGTTACACGGCAAACACAAAGTAAGTAATTAAAACGTTTCCCCTTCTTGCTCCAGGGATTAAAAAAAGAAAAATTGAATTTAATCCTTAAAACATTACATTTATATACGCTGAGAGGTGTAGTATAAATAATTCTACTTTGATAGTATTCCCAACCTGCAATTTCTCGTAATTAGCATTGAATTACGTACGTAATCGGAAAAGGTGATTGCCGGTGTATTTAACTTTTATTGATTTCGGTAGGCAAACGATCCAGATAATGTTCACTATTACCCAGATTTTAGTATAACGAAAGACCTTCCTAGCGGATTCTTTAATAAATTGTATCAAAAGAATTCGGGATTGCTGAAGGACGAAAAAGCTCGTTACAGCTCTACATAAAATCGATGTGGGCAACCCGCGATTCGCGCGACCACCTGCCGCTTGCATCGAAAAACGGGGTTATTTGTTTTTGCTAGGTAAGAAAACACTATTATAAACGTGGTGCAATTACCGTAGTAGCCAAAGCTAGGTTTTGTAGCATTGGAGAGATGTGCATGCTAAGGGATCGAATCAAAAATGACTTTACTCCGTGAACTTGGTTATACATGTTCTTTGGAAGTTTGTGGTAGCAGATGTTCGTAAGAGAAAACAGTATATACCCCGAATGTGAGTATCGAATTTTAAGCAAAACTTTTTCACTATACATATTAACGTTACCCTAAGAAATATTTTTAATTAAGAATTAATGAATTGCACTGCATTTTCCAACCATAAATATCAATGCTGAAATCTGTTATAATAATAAAAATTAATTTATCCTTCATTAACGGTACTAATTCGTATGGCAAAGATATGTATCATAATCAGTCAATGTATACTTAAGCGTTATCGCCAATTGTGAAACTGACTATAAAGCCCGTATGGTAAGCCCATGAGGATGCCTTCTCTTTTATTTTCAGATCTCCCAGGGCGTTCCGTGAATTATCGCAGTTTATAGTTTAACCGACCCCGTTCGAAACCTTGCGAGCTATGCGTAAAACGCGTAAATAGCTTCTCGCAAACGAAATAACAGGACGTAGTTCCCTCTAGCAGAAACCTAATGATGACGAATTTAGTTTACACAAGAAATGTACACAAAAGTGTAATCAAATCTAAATTGCGTGAATATTCGCCGAAGTCTACAACTAAAATAAAACTTTAGACATTGCACTGATTAGGAACGCTAAAAGGGAAAGAATGTTTGCTCCACGAACGAATTCGAATCGTACAGAAAGAAAAACCTTTGAAATTAATACTTTTTACGCTAGGCAAGACAAGGTTCCAGTCTTCAAAGTAAATTTATCTCCACTTTGCAATCTTCAACTTTGTTCCAAGGCATTAACTACATTATCGTTATCCACGAGTCTCTCTCCTTCTTAAGGGGTGACGTGGTTCATAAGTTTAAATCAAATTTAAGACATCATAATTCTACGATGAAAAAATAGTCTATTCTTATTATTAGTTATAGAGTTAGTTTCAGTGGGATTGAAATTGATCTGTTTACTGTGTCGTGATTTTCGAGGTGGGTATTATAGGGTTAAGGTCAATTATAACGTTGTCTGTTTACACCACAACGTCTCTAAGGTTATTTCTAGAGGTTAAATTCTATTGAACGCTGTATACAGAATGAAAGTTTGAAGAAATTGAAAAGATTGCATAAGCTGCCGAGCTATACTCTTCTCTATAATCGGTTACCGCAGAGTTCAACAATATTTAAACCAGTGGAAGCTATCTAAAAGAATATCTTAATAGTAATAATGATAAGACCTACCCTGACCAAATCTGTTAACAAACTTAATCTAAAGGACCAATCCAATTTGATCTCGTCCTGCTGAAGTACGTCCTGAAGTGAACCGCGCGAACACCATTCCGCCACAAGCGCAGCTCTTGGAGGTTCAGCAAGGCAACCAATTAAGGGATTCAAATTCTCGTGCCGTAATCCATGCAGCATCACTAAAACCTCAACCGCCTTCGCTTTCAGTTCGATTGTGCTGGGCGGTAGAGGTTTCATCTGTACCAAATCTCCCTGCACACAAGGCACGTCCAATTAAAACTTAATCGATCGTCAAATCGCCAACTTACATTATACCTAACTCGCGGATCGACGATCAGTTGCTTGGCCAGATTTGGGCTGGACCCAACTCTGTGCGGCGTACGGATTGATCCGCCGGATCCTTGGAGAAGGTCGGGCTTGTCCACCTCCGGCCCTCCAAATTCTTGAAGCTGTTGTAACCAGCAACACAACATCGCTTCAATGCCCTCGTCTACCTGGACAGAACACATCTTTGATAACTGAAAAAATAAATTTTAGCCAGCCTTAGCCTTTAGCGTCTACACAAAATTGTAATTAAGTCTCTAATTGCGTTTAGTATGATATAGTTCGCGTCTGTTACTGAAAGGGTTCACTTAAAAGCTTTATTTCCAACAAATTGTGCTGTAAGTTACGCTTTTGTTCTGTGGAGGATTCGAATTGATTTTCTGTTTTAGATACCCCGTCTTGATCCATTTACGTAAATTGAATACGCGTATGCCAGACCGATCTCTTCGCAAACTAATTGCAGTGGAAAGTGCAACTTGAAGCAGTGCTTTACAATAATGCATCGCAAAGGTATTGAATTGAATCTTGTTTCAAAGGATTAATTTCCATCAATTTTACCTACTTCAAACAAGCTGGGAGTAGCAAATAATTTTGCACGATGAAATTTACCAACAATTAAAATTCGTAATGTTTGCGGATTAAAACGTTTCCAAAGTTTAAGTCTGTTGTTCAGACACTTACATAAAGTTTTGTCGGTGGATCATCGGAGGATTAAATTTTATAAGCTGAGCAGTAAACCTGAAGTATATCAACTCTGTGAGGAATTCATACACATCAAACTCATACGTTATATTTTAACATTGAGTAACTTGGAAGTACTACCTAATTCATCAGCTTTGAGAGTGATATGGTGCCGAAAAGTGATGGAGAATAAGTGTCACGCTCTTTAGGGCTTTTACTTAAAATATCACTCAGAAAGAGTGAAAAATCCCATTTTACTCTTGACATTTCGAAAGAGTATCGATCTTTAATGGTTTTTAATTAAATATTACGTGTAAATTTCCTCATGTATACGAAAATACCGTGGCTATTTGAATTGTAAATTAAAAAGAAGGATGATTTTTGCCTTGTTATTATAAAAAGCAATGGCAGTATGCAGAGGAAACAGTACTTCAAAAGAATTTATTTACAACTTTCACGTTTTGTGCGGCAATATTATCTGAGGTATAGAATTTCTAATCTAGCGATACCACCAATATTTCAATAGAATTCAATTTTACATGGTGAATTGTCCTCTTTTTGTGTTGATTTGGCCGCCCAAATTTTGCGCGAGTGTCCCAGATTTTTTATTCTGGGTTACATCTTCTTGTTGGCAGTGAAAATTTCAGATTATCTTAAGTTGTGAGATTGTTTTCAGGCAGTAGCGCAATAAGGAGTGCTATATCTCTATTAATTTTCATTTGATTTTGCGATATTTCAATCCTTTCGACTGTTTCAAATTCAATTTTTTTCAAGTGCATCAAATTCTTCCGAATTTTTCATATTTAAGTAATTTACGATGTTTCGATTTCGATTCTTCCATATTTTTTAGATACTAGTGATTTTTGGATTCTCATATTTTTCCTTCTCTTCAAATTCCTCCAATTTTCTGTTTCCTTTAGGTTATTTTCCTTTAAATTCTTCCTCTTGTCTTTCTCTACAAATGTGCCTCGAGTCTATCGACTTCTTCAGAATATTCAAATTCTGCATATTTTTAAAAGTATTTAAAATTCAACATTTTTCGACTCGGGTCCTTCCGACGCAACCTTTCATCAGATTCTTTACATTCTGCAGATATATTTTATTCTTTGTATTTTCCGTTTTTATTTACATTCTTCAGATTTACATATTTACATTTAATCACGATTCTTCAGTTTATATTCTTTCATTTCATCGAATTTTTCGGATTCTTCAAATCCCTCCGGATCTTAAAAATCATCGGACACATGGGATCCTTCAGAATGTGGATTTTTTTGCTTTGAAATTACTCGACTTTTTCGATTCTTATAGATCCGTTGGATTTTTTTTGATTCGTCATTCATCGAATCCGTTTCATTCTGTACTTTCCTATCCTTTGATTTTTCCTTATTCTTAATTTTTTGATTTTCCAGAAATATTTAAGATCCTCTAAGATTCAGTTACTTCGAGGTCATTGGAACTATTGACATTTTTTGTGGGAATTTTTCCAAAGAAAAAATTCCCCTTATGTGATGGTTTTGTCCATCTGTCTCTCCGTCTGTTCGTTGGTTCCTCGCCTAACTCGAGAACGAAAACAGATACTGATGTCAAACTTTCGCCAATCGATTTCTACGAGTTCAAGGATAATATATATATGAGCCGGATTAAAAGGCAGGTCTCCGAATGCGAGCTGGAGTGGCAAAAAATCCCCTACTGAAAATCGTATGCGATTCTTCGTATCTTGTTTATAGTTTCTCTGATTCTTCAGTTTCAAGTTAACAATCAAACTGGGTGTAAAATTGGGCAGGTTTAACGGAAAATTAACAACCCCCTGCAACTAAGATCCAAAAGCTGTACAATTTTGAATTTTCATATTATTAACGAATCTATGGGGAAGGTTTAACATTCGTCCCCATTTGGAGAATCCAATACAACACTATGGACAACATTCAGTGTTTATTTCATAGTTCATTGCTCTTCCTCTAGAGGTCATCCGAATGTACTTTTCTGTACAGTGACTCTATAGAGGCAGTCTGGTCATACGGTGGTGTTCCTTTCTATTGGGAATGGAGAAAATACGCCGGATCGGTAGAAATTAACCTGGAAACGAAGGTGATGAATTGGTCTTGCTGGATACAATTGTGGCAATATTATTGTAACCATAGCAAAAACAGGGTAAATCTGTTCAGCAATTAAACGGTGAATCCGAGTATTTAGTGGATCTTGCAAATAAGTGGTGCATTGCAAATGAATTAAAAATCAATATTTCAAAAACACAACAATTAATTCTCTCCCTGAGAACACATAATCTTTTAACACCACGCTATGTCAAGTTCCTGGGACTCTGTATTGACAGCAAATTGAGTTTTAGTATGCATGTTGAACATGTTCAAGCAAAATTTAGCTGTAACTTATTTGTCCTACGTCGATTAGCAGATAATGTCTCAGCAAATGTCTTAAGACGCGCTTACTTCGCTTTGTGCCATTCTTTATTGACCTATGGTATTATAGTATGGGGAAGCTCTTCTTCCAGTGGAGATCTTTTTAGACTTCAGCGCAAGGCACTAAGAGTAATTTCAAGTCTGGGCTATAGAGATGATTGCAGACAGGCATTTATAGATTTAAAGATCCTTACATTGCCTTGTCTGTTTATTTTTACCTGCTTGTGTTATGCTAAGGCAAATCTCGCTAAGTATAGGCAACAACATCAGATTCATGCTCACGATACACGTAGCAAGGAGGATTATCGTTTACCCCTTTTAAGATTAAGTATATCGCAAAAAGGTGCAGAATATATTGCAATAAAATTTTATAATCATCTATCCGATACTATTAAGTTGCTTAATGAAAAGGTTTTTAGCAACAACATTAAACAATTTTTGTTGTCAAAGGCGTTCTATTCCCAAAATGAATATTTTAATTTCAAATTCGCCGAAAAAATTTAAATTTATGTATTAGTTTAGATCTCGGTTTAGATTTTTGTGTAATTATTTTTTATTTTGACGATTGTATGTAACTTTTTTCGGTTACTTAAACATAATAAAAGTTATTATTATTATTATTATTATTAAAATCTGCTAATTCACATATAGGGGGAAACAACTTTGAATTTTTTGTGAACACCGCTCTAAATTAATTAGAATTAACGTGAATCAATTTGAATTAGCGTGAATTAATTAGAATTAACAAAAATTAATATGAATTTATGTGAATTAACGTGAATTAATTTGAATTTACGTGAATTAACTTGAATTAACGGGAATTATTTTGATTTAACGTGGATTAATTTGAATTAAAGAAATTAAGTTAAAGCGATGAGTGAAGAATCCTTCACTCAACGGTTAAAGTGAATGTTTTTTTAATTTTATTGGATTCTTCAGTCACCTATTTATTTCGGTTTTTCCGAGCCTTCATTTTCTTCTGATGCTTCCGTTCCTGTGGAGGTTTATCATAAGCCTAGGAGAACCCAATGAATAGAGATAAAAACTCACTTCAGTGAGTTTGTAACATATGACTATCTTAAAAAATGAGTGAACCAATGCAAACGGTTTTTTTGTAATTCGTTCGGCAACCACACCCACCAAGGTCTCATAATTTGAGTTTCCCTTTAATCTATTTCTAACTAAAACAGATAAAACAGCCTTGAGCCGTAGGTTTACCGTTTTCGATGTTGTTGTCAGGTTTTCCGACCAAATTGCATGTCTGAAAATCTTTTTACATAGAAATAACGAGTTTGTTGGTTACAATTTAGTTTGTAATTAGATCCCAAATAGGCACATTAATTTCTAATTGGAACAAGTGGGGTGCCAAGTCTATTGAGGTAATTTGATCGTTTGCATTCGATACAAATTTGACTTTGGTTCATACGATTCGACCGGTCTTCGAATGATGATTTCGTATTGACTTAGTAACCATGACAAAGATCACATTACCTTTTTGAGAACGCACTTCTGGTATAGTATGGCCCAAAATAAACAGTACCAAAGTTGTAATTGTTTAAACATTATTTGGACTTTAGAGCATTAGACAATTACAAGTTGAGTACTGTTTATTCTGAGCCATACTATACGAGAAGCTCGTTCTATGTGCTAAATGTGCACCTCTTCGTTCAAGACAGGCTTCATAGTAACGTAGCAAGTTGATCGTTCTGTTATCAATTAAGGGTTGTCTCAGTTCTGCGAAAAAGACTCGAATGGCATTCTTTAATTCGTCGATGGTTTGTGGTTTTGAAGACGGCATCTTTGACCAGGCCACAAATGTATGCGTCTGGAGGTGTGAGGTCTGGCGAATGTAAAGCATACGGGAAGTGGTAATTCCGTATAAACCAAAATAATGCTCCACCAGAAACCCTTTCTCTCCCGTGCATCAATTTTAACAATTAGGCCCTGGTAATTAGTTATTTCAGGTTTACTTGACAGGTCTATACTAGCCAACGTGAGCATGAGGGTGCGAGGCACCGCCAACTTAATTTCAGTACTGTTTTGGGCAAATCTGTATTAAAATCCGCATTACCCGCACGACAAAAATCCTATAAGGTTTGCAACTTATATTGTTTCTCCCTCGGTTTCTCCCAGAGGCGTGCTTCACGTTGGCAAAGTTGACAAACTTCCTTTTCGATGCATTTTTAGCGCATTTTGGAAATTTATTTGTAAAAAGTAGCTTTTAATCTCACTTTGGCTGGCTGGCTGGCTGGTTGGCTGGCAGCAAATGTGGGCGCGTAGAAGAACTCTTGTAGAAAGGCAACGGGTGTACGTGTATCTACAGGGCCGTGAAATTTGTCAACCTTAGGGACATGGCTACATGATGTGGGGTTGGCGACATCTGGGCGTCATCCTCGAGCGTAGTATACTAACGTGAAGGTTTTTCAGTTTTTTCCTATCTTCTACTACAGTTTTGGTCCGATTCTTTTGAAATTGGTGTCGTCGGAAAGATGTTGTAAACGCGCACAACTCCTGCGTGGCGGAATTTTGTTTTTTGTCATAGGGGCGAAATTAACGACCTTTTGCGAGGCGCGCGCGCGCGTCTTCGAGAAGTAGTCAACTTCGGGCGCCTTTTACCTTCCGTTGCGAACTCACGCGGTTTAACGTTTCGTAAATCTCGAATCGCTGTCTCTCTTTCTCGTGTCGCCAATAGAAGTGAATTGCGAGTGAACGGGACGTCGGAAGTGGGTACCGTCAAAGGGAATGTGGTAGCCCCCGACACGATCTTACTGATGGTGGAGTCAAATCTTTAAAAGCGAATTGCGGGTGCACGCGGAAAGTGGGAAGCGGTTAGTGAATGTAGTAGCCTTCGACAAGATCTGTTATTGATGGTTGAGTCGAAAGTGGCTAATAGAATACTGATCTGCCACACAAAAATGCGCTGAAGTCCCTTCGATCTCAAACGAGGACTTTGATAATTTTTTAATTTTAACCGATACCACAAATTCGGAAGCTTCTTAAATTTTATGAAATCGCCCCCATATCAATCTAGATTCACACATTTGCGTTTTATTCCTCACGTCCACACGATTTTATGCAAAATTCAATTAAGTTGGCAAAATGTCGTTCTACAGCGACATACTGAATTAATGAAGCACTAACACGAACTTTTAGTGCCGCCGCTATTATTTGAGTTCGTTAATTTTCATGTCACACGTTTTACCGAAGTCCCGCTAATTGATGAAATTTTTTGCGTGTGTAATTCACATAGGTATATAGCTAATTCGATAATCCCACACGAAAAACAATACACGAAACTTTTACAACGAATGTGGAAACGGATTCAACAATCACCTAGGTATATAACGGTATATACGTAGTCTTATCCGCCGGGAATAAAGTAATATAGCAGTCAACTGTTAAAATCCCTAAATTTGAAATGTAAATTCCGTAATTATCTTCTAGCGTGTGTATATTGTTAATCATTCTGTATTTGCCTCTATACCCTTATGCGCGAATACGTATCAAGGTAAGTGATTATTTTTGAGAGGGAGGCTGGATTGAGATTACCGGATGTTATTACTTCAAAAAGTTTGCAAGTTTAGCTATAAGATACTTTAGAAAGGGAGGATTATTGAGTATTAAGCTCGTCTGATAAATGAAATTTTATCGAGTTTAGCCAACTCGGCTGTACACTTAATTATAAACTTTAATGGATGTTAACCAGAATTATTGGTTTATTTGCGCTTGTTCTATTTGGCACAATTTAATTAACGTTTCCCCAGATACAGATAACTGTTTTATTTAGTTTTATATTCTAGTTCCTTGCGCTAACTCCATTTTAATATATATACCTACAAAGGTAGAAAGTTACTAAACTTGTACCCACGTCGTCGACATTGTCGTGGACAATGCAATAAACAGATTTTTTGCACGACGATCGAACGTGATTTTTCATCAACTAATCAAGGGTGGAGAATAATTAAAGATCTCCGCCCGTCGGCAGTAGGAACTTCAGTGCGGCCCGGGTTCCGTGGAACCATTTGTCGCATCTTATAGGTCCTGGCGTCAAATTCTTATTTCCATCAGAGAAAAATGACATTACTGTATTGGGTATGAGGAAAAGTAATTCAACGACCCAAAAGATAATTAAAATTTAAAACTTGTAAATCTAAAATTTAAACAATTGAAAAAGTTCAAAATTTTGAAGTAGTCTTCGAATCTTGAGAGACACGTAAGGGATATCGTTTTACGAAATTTTATAGAATAATGGTCGAGTAAAAACACTCTTAATAAGTAATTATATCATACACCTTTTTAGGCGAAGCTCCACGCTTTTAACAAATATCCTGATATTTTGTTACGAAACCACGAAAAGTTAATTAATTACATTTTAATTTTGTGTTTAGGTACCTACGGAAAAAAAGCGTTATGCGTAAAATGATCGCAACAGTCAAAACCAGGTCGCCTAAACGCAATTAGTGAACTCAATTAAATTTGTTAACGTGGCTCGTGCACTACCTAAACGAAGCAACACAAGCTACCTCGACTTAATTAATAAGTTAACCTGATATTTTCGCTAAAAATAATTATTTTTACTCACCCTACGGCTGTCTGGAATCTGCGGAAAAACGAAATCGCTCGCAGTCAACAAAACCTTATAGGGTCCTTTCGACAGCTTCTTCTTTAAGAATTGTTTTCGTATTAACGCGGCAAACACCATCAAAATTAGGACAAAAGTAAACGAACATCCAAATATAATTAGGACACTAATAAGATGCTTTAATTCACTTTCACAGCCTTCGCACTCATCGTTATCTTTATGTTTGAGCGTCCACTCCTCCAAATTATCCAAAATTTTATTTACAACCAATTCATTATCACTATTACTACCCGATATTAGCAAAGGTCTCCACGTACCCTCGTCCCTTAAATCCAACAACACAAACTTCGCGTTCTCCATTCTCCTGCCCTTCAGAACGGAAGTCGCATGTTTAATTCGTCGCACCAGAACGCTTTCGACGCTTATATTATACACAAAATTTGAACTAATGTTGCCAAAAACGTTCTCACTAAACACCAAAAGGAACCTCTTTGTCGTTAAGTCGATCTCCGTCCTTGTCAGGTTTAAGTTTTGAAATTCGCCCGTGGAATTTGCGACGTTCATTTCGTCCCCCAAGCTTGACATCCACGACGGAAGCGATGAGATATCCACGAAGATTGTTAATGTGTTATGATCCCTAGCTAAATTTAAATGATCGATAACGGTTAAAATTGTTCTACCCACTTCGTTTACGGGCGCACACACGATCACAGCTGAAACGAAAAACAAGATCAATAGAAGCGAAAATTGAACAAAAAGGTATCGTTTCTATTCGAGGCGTTATATACTTATTGAAAAAGATAAAGTCCTGCAAAAGTTTCAGGCTAAGACACTCTCTTTCCTCTCGTTCTGTGCGATAGGCGAATTATGCATTTAAGTTTGTCATCATCACTTTGTCGGGTTGGGGAAATTATTTTTAAAGTGGTAAAGTATAAATTTGAATTGGAAACAGACTCTTCTGACACATCCATTCCCCAGTTACACAATGAAGGAAAACGAAATTCCGTTTGTTGTACGTCAGGCTGCGTTCGTTCCGTTTTGTAAATTTTCTTTTACTGACGTTCGCTGTTCCTTTTCCATTTGTTTTCGACATAATTGTGTGCCCTTTGTGTCAGAATTGTTTTACTGTAACGGCATATTAGCATAAACGTATCGATTTCCTGTACAAAGCAGTCTCAGATGACGTATCGGGTATCTTGACATGTAACGATACAATTATAAATGATTTTGATCGTTTGGGCGGATAATAACGAAACTTCGAACTACTTCATGTCAATTTTTGGAGGTTGTAAAGAATGGGTTCTCACAAGTTAAGAGGAGCATTCGCGTCACGTAGAAAAGGTTTTAACTTGGGAATTACATTTACTGTCGATGGAGGAGATATTAATAGATTATGGTTATTACAATCATCATAAGTTAAATTCTGTTCCTTTTCTAATAAACTCCTGTTTTATAACGATTCGAGTGTTTGTAAAGCCATTACATTGGGGTCAGGTGTGGGGTTTAATTAGAATGATGACAAAATTAATGGAATTGAAGGTTACCGAACTTCCTGTTCAGTTGAGGTCTTGAGGAAAGATCACTTGATATGACAGGTCTGACGAGCGTTCTCCAAAGATCCGCTGAACATAAATCGACGAAACAAACGCGGGTCGGAAACTAAGATGACTCTGCGACTTGAATTTTGGCAACAAGTCTGGTGAAGACTTGTCGATTGAAGATTTGGTGCGTTCAGGTCTTCAGAGTGTTAGTGACAGGATGATACAAAGTTACGTAGTGCGAACTCGAAGAGGAGTGGGAAAAGCATTAGAACTGCAGGATAGCGGACGTGTCGTTTATTACCTAGTGACGAAAATACTATCTGTTGACAATTTGAATTTTGAGGTGATGTGGAATACAGGAATGGCAGAACAAAATTTTGCAGATGGGGACACGAAAAAGTGCAGTACCTAAAGTCCTGTTTTCTAACGATTCGGGTGTTTGCAAAACCCTTACAATATATTTTCACCTGTTGGATCAACTCAATGAAATTAAATTTATCATGATACAATAATTGCAAGAAAAGTTAGAACCAAGCTCTCGTAGAGAGATTGGGAAACAATTTTTGTTAATCGATCTTGGCCTGTTGTATAAATAAGGACTAATTTACTACGATCCAATAAATACTGACATCAATAGCAAAAAAATGATCTTTTAATGAATCATACTGGAGACAAAGGATCGATTGGAAAACGAATTTTCCCCTATATAAGGTCAAAAAAAGATAGATTATTCGACAACTGCAGGGAAAGTTATAGATTTAATAAGGCCTTGCTGCAAAAATCGAACCAATAATTATCTTCTTTAGAGGTTCGGTTTTCAACAACGGAAAAAAACGATTTCTTAGCAAAAGCAAAGAATAAATTGTATAAAATGGAATGTGTTGAATGGGCTTGTCGCAAAACATTTTTTAAATAGACCTTGGCCGGTAGAATCCACAAAAGTAAAATTTCTCACGATCCAACAACTACGTTATCACCACACCGATCTTTCAATAGGGCAAAATCGATCGAAAGTATAGTGGGCTTGTCTCAAATCGATTGAGTAACGAATTTTTCTTTTTATGGAATATCTTTTGGTACCTAATTAATTTAGGTTTCCGTTTCTGTTAGTTGCATGTTAGATGCGACAATATCAATACTTTCGATGTATTTTCTTGATATTGAACTAGTTTTTCGTCGGCGAAACATAAACTTAGCGCATACTCAAACAGATTGACAAATCAGAAACTGAAAGGAAAAACAATTATTCAGAATAGATAAAGAATAAGGAGAAAGGACATATACATACAAACGACAGTTCTACACAACGAGACAAAAATAAGGAAGAGAAAATCGATAAAGGAAATCCACGTTTTCTTAAACAAACGAAACTGTCACAAAATACGTAAAAAAGAATAAGACACGTGCACTTTATTGTTTAGATTGGACACTGAATTCAAAGTAAATTTAAACAGTAGGACACTTACCCCTACACGGATTTCTCTTTAAAATCCTTATCTTTTGTTGAATTTCGTGTGCGGTCATCGTCTCCGGAATGATGAAGTAATGACGCGAAATGATACCAATTTCCCTTAAGTGGACATCTAGTAATTGTGATAAATTAGGCCACCACCCCATTCCTGAAAATGAAAGAAAGATAAGAGTTTCCTAAATGGAATAATTTATGCTATTCGGGAAATGTCAACGAGCGCCCTTCGTCATAGCGAAATTATTAATTTGTCCTTTTGCACTCCTTTTTAGTTATTGAAAGCAATTTGAGCGATATAGAAAAGGTCGTTTCAATACTTTAGTAAGTACAGTTTATTTAGTTTCAGAGGATTTGGGGTCGTGCCTTCTACTAGGAATTGATTGGTAACAAATTTTTTGCCTCCTCGTAAATTTATTCCCGTTTAGATGTTATTACCGTAAGTGTTCGTAAAGCATTCGCTTTCAATCATGATCTCTTAAGATACTAAGTTGACGGGGTAAATCCTCATTTGCGCAAAGATAAACACACAGTACGTGTATGCAATACGAAAGCAGCCATCTGCACAATTTCCTGGTTTAGGTAAGTGTACGGGAAGACGCTGTATTCCAGTTTGAATAAAATTAATATCAGGCACGTGGAAAATCTCGTTACATTGTAAACGTGTTTATTCTAAGACCTAGAGATTTCTTACCTGCAATAATAAAAGCTTTAACATTGTTTTAAAAAGCATATTGACGCAACGTGCAAAGAAAACAAACAAAACAAGGCGAAAGTATACTGTTGGTTGTGTAAAATATTCTTGTAGTATGGACGATGTTTAATTTTTGTTTAGGCGCATTGTAATTTGTTTATTTTTTTACTTAAATTGTTAAGACTGTTATTTGCGTAATATTTGGTAAGTTTATCTCATATTTTTCTCCGCTTATTGGTGCGATATTGCTCAAAATTAAATTAATTTTGTGAACAGATGTTGGATTGTCGCAGGTGCGCGTTTTGATAAGAGAATTGTGCGTACTTTAATAATAGAATTCGGAAGTGGAATCGAAGAGAGGGAAACGTGGGCGGTGACCCTTTGTCCTCTGCCTGTGGCCGCCGGTTGCCTTTTGTCGTTTACGTGTAGCCGCCGCCGTGTTGTGCTAGTTCGACTTTAGCCGTTTTGTGTGATTGCATATTTGAACGAGTGCGGAATTTTGAGTTATGGCCTTACCTCTCTTGTAATCCTGAGACGAATCTTCATTCTTGATCAAAAATGGTCGATATTATTAATAAAGCACCCTTGTATGGCGGTAATTAATTAATAAGATAGGTAGGGATTACCCGGAGAAGATTTGTGAGGGCATTCGGTTATGAGTCAGTTCAAGTATTAATCAGTTGAGTTTTGGCTATGGTAGAACTCAACTCGAAAGTTGTGGAGTGCTTCGAAATCGTTTCAAGAGGGATAATAAGTGTACGCGGTACGCGTGCGTGAGAACGTTGAATAGTGAGAACCAATTACAAAAAGTTAGTTACTAGTGGTATAAAAATTGAAAGGTGCAACTGTACCGGCCTTTAAACATACCACAATTAACACCAATGAAACACTAACGGCATGTTCGCCAAAACGAAAACTAACTCAACCAAAACTACCTGATATATTATACATAATTTCACGTAATTTGTTCAATTGTCAGTGAAGCTTCACGGACCTCCCTACTTTGGGTAATTTGGGTATGAATCGTCCCGTGTATATGAATCCATGTTTTGATTTAGCTTAGTAATTGAATTCATTGCTTGTAGCCTGTAGGTAATTATCTGCGCGATTGAAACTCATTACTGCAATCCTTATTGAAATCATTGATTCACATGAAATGTTATGAATATTATTCGTGTTAATCGACGTTTAAATATACCACGGGAAAGCATTTATGATTTCAATTTGCTAGAACGCAAAGAAATACATTTTAACCATACTCCACTAGTACCTATACTTTCTTCTGAATTAATTTCAGGAATTTCGTAAAATTTATAAGCGGATAAAGGACAATCGAAACCGATTAAATCACTAATACTCTAGGCGATAAAGACATCTAACTGGACATTTTGAGGTGGAAAAGAAAAAAATGGTGGAATATGTTCAGTTAGGTGTCAGAAACAACATATTAAAAATCCCACCCCCCAGACCCTGTGCTAAAGGCTCCAGCCATCCCCCAAAAACCGTGTTTTCGCTCTTTTTGGCTGATATCTCGCGATCTATGAGGTCTATATGAAATATTTTTAGCTGAAAATATTTCTCGGGAAATTTTATACAAGGTAGATACTCAGAAGTTAGCCTAGGTGTACCTCTTAGCCTAGGAATTTCATAAAAGAGGCGAAAATCATCAATTTTCGTGGCTTTTTGCAAATATATCGCGACCTTTAGGGCTAGATGAAATATTTTTAGCTGAAAATGCTCTTCGTGCAATTTCATACGAGATAGGTAACTGAAGAGTTGGCGTAAAGTCACCTTTCACCTTCAACTTTCATGTGTGAGGAAATATTCATTGTAAAACAAAGTATTTCTATGTACCATTTATTCACGTAAAAACAGTATTTTCATATTAAAATATTCACACATTCATTTATACCTCAACGTAATCATTATCCTCTGCAGATTCCACTTCTTCAGGCTCTTCGGCGTCCTCTAGTGCTAGTAAACATTTTTTTGACATAATGCTTCTTGTTGTAGGTCTGAAGTGTAATGAAGTCTGCGTCCAGTGTCATGGAGCATCGTGCCTAAATGCCACGTCGTCTCTTCAGGGTACCCATGCATCAGGTAAAGCGGAAGACGAGAACTACGAGTCGGTAATCTCAGACGACCCACTACCACTAGAGGACGTCGAAGAGCCTGAAGAAGTGGAATCTGCATCTAGTCTATAACTTTTGATTGAGAAGTCTGATCGAAAAAGTACGAATTGATTTGGATTCTACGCACCCAAATTAATAAGAAAAAGTGTTTTCCCGAGAAATTTTGGTGTAGTCGATTTTTGGTAAAAAAGGAAGGTTATACACTGCCTTTTTTTGAGCCCCGAAAAAAAAGTTGTCTCAGATCGACCCGGAAAAAAAATTTTCTTATAGAATGTGGCCTGTAGAATCCATAATTTCAAACAGTTCCAAGATTGGGCTACTAGTACAAAAGTTACAGCCCTTTGAATTTTTTTTCAAATTGGTTTCTAGTCTATAACTTTTGATTGATCGAAAAAGTACGAATTGATTTGGATAAGTACCTATAAGGATAATGATTACGTTGAGGTATAAATGAATGTGTGAATATTTTAATATGAAAATACTGTTTTTACGTGAATAAATGGTAGGTACTAGTAGGTACATAGAAATACTTTGTTTTACAATAAATATTTCCTCACACATGAAAGTTGAAGGTGAAACTCTTCAGTTACCTATCTCGTATGAAATTGCACGAAGAGCATTTTCAGCTAAACATATTTCATCTGGCACTGACGGTCGCGATATTTTTGCAAAAAACCGCAAAAAAAACACGAAAATAATGATTTTCGCCTCCTTTAATGAATTTTCTAGGCTAAGAGGTACACCTAGGCTAACTTCTGAGTATCTACCTTGTAAAAAATTTCACGAGGAGCATTTTCAGCTAAAAATATTTCATCTAGCCCTAAAGGTCGCGATATATTTGCAAAAAGCCACGAAAATTGATGATTTTCGCGGCTTTTATGAATTTCCTAGGCTAAGAGGTACACATAAGCTAACTTCTGAGTATTTACCTTGTATGAAATTTCCCGAGAAATATTTTCAGCTGAAAATATTTCATATAGACCTCATAGATCGCGAGATATCAGCCAAAAAGAGCGAAAACACGGTTTTTGGGGGATGGTGGGGTGACTGGAGCCTTTAGCACAGGGTCTGGGGGGTGGGATTTTTAATATGTTGTTTTTGACACCTAACTGAACATATTCCACCATTTTTTCTTTTCCACCTCAAAATGTCCAGTTTGCCAATTTCTATCGCCTAGACTATAAGGAGTTATTGCAAAGTAGGTATCAAACATTTTAATGCACCGGCTCTGTGTGGTTGTTGTACAAGGGGCGCTGCAGAGATGAGCTGTCAATTGACCTCTCGTTTTGTGTAACAATATGCACATGAAAAATGAAAATAACACAACGACAAATGAAGCTGAACAACCTATACAACAGATCGATTATAATACGAGACGATTTTACTTTGTACACCTTTAGGAATTCTGCTAAAAACTTGCATTCCAACAACAAACTGTATTGCTGTAATCCCGTAGGTACATAAACTTGATTCTTATCAGAAGTGCAATTAGTTTTAGACTACCATTTCCATTGTCGTGTGTAAGGGTAGGGGGGTATTTTATTACCAATGTCTTATCAAAGTTCAGTAAAGTAATAACTATAACTTCGTTTGTATCAACCATTTCAACTGAAAGGGTTTACCGCACACAATCCCGCAGAAATTAGACTGATCTTAACATCCTCAATATTTTTATCTAACGTAGGCAATCGCAACTTTGTCAAGTCAAATGAAAACATGTAACCTTTTTTTTAATAAAACTTTTAAATTGAATTTGCTCGTGACAACGCTCAATTTTGAAGCAACCATATACAATGACACGCAGAATAAATGCAGGGCGTGGGAGAAAGGTAAAACAAAAGCGAATAGGCCTCTGGTGTTTTAAATACAGGTTTTCTTGACTGGCGCCCACTTTTTCATCGTGTCAGTCATGACAAGTTCCAATTTAGTTTCCTTTTTGTATAGATACTGCCTGTAAGTTAGGTCAAAGAAATGGAGAAAAGCTTCTTGTTTACAGACGATCCAGTTTTAAATCTTCAACCCCTGTAAAAATAAGCGCCTTCACTCGCATAAATCAACAATAATCTCGGACGAAGCAGGACTAGTTGTATAAATCATACGAGTTATCAGGGCAACTAGAGGTAAAGGCATTTAATTTCAATGAATTGTAAAGTACCTACCTACTAAATACTACCCTTTAAAATACTGGGAACTGAAATACCAATGTTAGCTTAGTACGCTTTACCAGATCTATTGAAACTGTTCCCACATACGTATCTATATATAGTTGTCTGCACCCACCACTTGGATGATATTTATTCGACATCAAACCAAAGTAAACTGTGTTGA